GGGGTCCACTGAACCATGCTGGGAGAGGAGGATGAGGGGTGGGTGTTGCACAAGCCAGAGAGGTGCTGATGTCTCACTGCTTGGGAATGCTGTGGAGCCTCCCTGGGCTGTGCCACCCCGGGCACCCTGCTCAGTGAGAGCACACAGGGGGTGCTGTGGGCAGCACGGCAGAGCCTCCATCTCCAAGGGCTCTGTCCCCCAAGGGCACGCTTTGGGGCACACCATGGCCTGCACTGCGCTCCCTCTGACACCAGGAACGAGCAGGGTGCCAGAGCCATCCTTGTCATGATGTTTCATCTTCAGGAGGGGCCCGGGAGCCACCAGCCATTGGATGGGCCTCATCAGCCCCTGCTGGCCCGTGGTGGTGCATCAGATGATGATGATGGTGCTTGGCTGCTTGCAGGAGCCAGCCAGGGATGCTCAGGGGAGGCTGCTCATTGGGCTGAGATGGAGCTGAGAAGGTCTGGCAGGGCACTGGGAGCCTGCTGGGACTGCCCATGGAGCCAGGCCTTTTGGACGGAGCCGTTTTCCCGTTAGAGGTTGCAATGAGCCGTGAGCACTGGCCTCATCTGGCAAGAGAATTTATCCAGAAACCTCATTGCATTTGGGTCTGAAACAGAGCAACTTCTGCTGCCCTAATGAGCGCTCACAAATGATTACATCCCATCGGATTACATCCCAGAGCCAGCTCATCCCTGGGTAGGAGCCAAGCCCCTTGGATGGGTCCTCCTCTGCTGATCGCCTCTGGCCCATGCACCCCACTGCATGGCTGTGTGTGGAGGGGATGGGGGTCCCCACTGAGAAACCCACTTCCCCTGCCTGCACGTGAGGGTGTCCTGCAGGGAGGGGGGTGCAGAAGCGCTCTCTTATCTCCCCATGGCACACACAGCTTCACCCTGCGCTCCCCTTCCTGCCGTCCCCACCAAGAAGGAAGTGTAGTAACCTTCTGATTAAGAGGAGATCAAAGGCAATATCAGATGGTTTCTCTTGCCTCTGCTTAGAGGAAGAGTGCATTTTGTGCCAGCAGGGAAAACAGAGCCTGAGGGTGATTAACCCCTTCCCATAGCTCTAATTCCCAGGAGAGATACAGTTTTGTGCCATGGATGCTGCACCTCTTGTTGCACCCCTCACTGGGGTGGTTGTTGTCCCCCTGCCCCACATGCTTCACCCTGAGTGCTGGAGCAGAGGAGTGACCACTGGGCATCCCCATGGCTCTGGTGTGACCGTGCCCTCATCCTGACATAGAATCATAGAATCACAGAATCATAGAACCATATAATAGTTTGGGTTGGAAAGGACCTTAAGATGATCTAGTTCCCAACCCCCCTGCCATGGGCAGGGACACCTCACACTAGACCATGTCTCCCAAGGCTCTGTCCAACCTGACCTTGAACACTACCAGGGATGGAGCATTCACCCCTTCCTTGGGCAGCCTATTCCAGCACCTCACAGTAAAGAACTTCTTCCTTAGATCTAATCTAAACTTCCCCTGTTTCAGTCCGAACCCATCACCCCTTGTTCTATCCCTACAGTCCCTAATGAAGACTCCCTGCCCAGCATCCTTGTAGCCCCCTTCAGATACTGGAGGGCTGCTGATACCCAGCCCTCACCCTGACACCCCAGGGCCAGGGACTGCCCGCAGCACTGCTGGACACTTAACTCACATCATTTGGGCTGCGCTCAGCAGGAGCAGGGTCCATCCAGCATTGGGTGAAGGGGGTCCGGATGCAGCGGGGGGCACGGTGAGGCTGGGGGTGACACTGCCACGTCCCCGCAGGTGCATGGAGGCGCTGGTGGTGTACTGCTGGTCGGGGAGGCAGGAGGAGCCCTACGTCACCATCACCCGCAAGCGGCGGCTGCGGAAGGGCTACGAGGTGGAGATGGAGCAGGAGATGGGCCACTCGGAGCGGCGGCTGGCCGTGCACCGCAACGCCTTCAAGCGCATGGCGGTCATCCAGGCCTTCCTGGGCTCCACGCCACAGCTCACCGTCCAGCTCTACATCAGCATCCTGGAGAAGTACGTCCCTGCTGCCCGAGGTGAGGGTGCCCGGCATGCAGGGAACCCCAGGGACAGGCTCTGTAGCCAGGGGTGCTGGTTGGCATCCCACAAAGCTCTGTGGGGATGGTGGCCACTGGGTGATGTGGAGCACAACCCGCGCTTGTCCATCCCTGGTTTGCTTTTCCCACTCGCTGCTCTCCAGCTTGCTGTGATGCTGGGAGACTGGGAAGAGCTGGACGTGGCTCTCAGCGCTGCTCCCAGCCCCACTGCTCGCAGATGGATGTTCTACAGAGCCATCCATGCACCCAGTCCCATGAAAATGCCGTGTCCCTGCCCCAGGCAGCTCCAGTCTGCCTTAGTTGCTGTTGTTTTCCAGCCAGCTGCATGCTCTGGCTTCCTCACAGCCCCTCCATTGGATCTATTTCTGTGCCTCTGCCAACAGCCACAGCTCCCAACCCTGCGCTTCCACTCCCAGGCTCCTTTGCTTGTTCCCAGGATGTTTATGTGCTCGGGGCTGGATGGGCCAGAGCAAGCTCTTGGCTCCCACTGCGGCATGCTGCCGAGCCGGACGCGCAGGAGCTCTTGCACCACTCCGGTGCAGAGTGCCTGGGGAGGGAGCTGCCCTCACCGACCCGCTCTCTGGCCGTGCTGGGAGCCCAGAGCTGTGCCCATGGAAAAGGGAACACAGGGAATGCCCCATAGAAACCCCCTCCTTGGCCACACCCCCCTTAAAGGGGGTTTTAGGGAGCGGGAGCAGCAGATGGAGGATGAGCCCCAGCGCTCCTGCAGCAGCAGATGCAGGAGGTGAATCCCAGCTGACACATTCCAGGTCATTCCCTCGCAGTCGGCTGCCTCAGCTCAGCCCTGCAGCTCACAGACATCACCACCGGCATGGTACGACTGGGACCAGATACTTCCCATTTGCTCCGTTGCAGTTCTCCTGGCTGCAGTGAATGGGAGAAGCTGCCAGCATTCCCTATGGATGAGCTTGGCTTTGCAGCCCCTGGATGAGATGCTCCCGGGGTGAATGGTGGGCTACAGTCCCCAACGCTGCCTGACTCCTCTCTCCTCTCCCTCTGCAGCGGTCCTCATGGGCATCTGCCTCGTGTCGGTCACCTACGGAGCCCTCGTCTGCAACGTCCTCTCCATCCAGGTCAAGTACGACGACTACAAGGTCCAGCTGCGGCCACTGGCCTTCCTCTGCATCGTGCTGTGGCGCAGCCTGGAGATCTCCACGCGCGTGGCCGTCCTCGTGCTCTTCAGCACCGTCTTCAAGCACTGGATCATCCCCATCGCCTTGGCCAACCTGCTGGTGGTCTTCTTCACGCCCTGGGTGCAGTTCTGGCGCAGCGGCACCCGCCTGCCCGACAACATCGAGAAGAACTTCAGCCGCGTGGGCACGGTGGTGGTGCTTTGCGCCTTCACCCTCCTCTACGCCAGCATCAACATGTTCTGCTGGTCGGCCGTGCAGCTCAAGCTGGCCGATAGGGACCTCATCGACAAGTCGCAGGACTGGGGCCGCTTGGCTGTGTACTACGTGGCACGGCTGATGGAGAACACGGCCCTCGTTGTCCTCTGGTACTTCTTCAAGACGGATGTCTACGAGAACATCTGCACCCCGCTGCTGGTGGTGCAGCTGCTCCTCGGCTACTGCATGGGCATCTACTTCATGCTCCTCTTCTTCCAGTACCTGCATCCCTGCCGACAGCTCTTCCAGCACAACGTTGCTGACTTCTTGCACTGTGTCTGCTGCCACCGGCGCCCGCCGGGCACCCCTCTGCACCTCCAGGCACCGTATGAGCCTGGTGTGAGGCACAGCATCGTCTGAGGGGCAGCCAGCACTGGCTGTGGACACAGGGATGTGCTGGCAGCACAAGCCAAGTGCTGCTGGCCCTTGGTCCCAGTGCATCCCACAGTGGCACGGGGACAGGAGTGTGCCCGCCTGCCTGGCACCACGCACATGGACACAAAGGACTTTGGGGTGCCCAAACTGTTGCTGCAAGCACCCCAGGGGTGCCCTGACACCCCAACCTGCCCGCTACGGTGCATACAGTGACCCTGGGGACACGGGGGCCAGCGGGACTGTTTTAAGCAGTAAAGAACCTCTGCTGTGGCTGCGTGTCCGGGTGCTGGCGCTGAGGGTGGGACTGTCACCATCACACCAGGGCTGGCACGGGTGCGCACCCGCTGCTTGTGCTGCTCTTTGGATCACTGGTCTCGA